TTGGACAACCAGATTACTTTCATATAGAGAAAATTGGCCTCGGGTAGTTAAAACAAGTCATCCTTCATCTGAAGTAACACTACTCATAGGGTTACTGAAGGCTCTTCGACATTTCGCAACCGGTTGGAACCAAATTAGTTTGCAAAGGAGTGTATTCAGCGGACTGCGTGCAATTTGCACCCGAGTAAGACCTGAGGTTGACAGGAGCTCTGGGACTGTACCTACCAAATGAGTGTCAAGAACGATGAAACCAGAGATTATCAAAGGGTTTCCCACAACCTCATGAGAAAAAAAGCACCGCGATACCTCAAGTATGGTACCAACTAAAATAGGACATTCAGTTAAAGAATATCCTGGGGGATTCAGCTGGGATTCACTCCAGCCTCCCGTTAAAAGAAAGTTTGGGTGCAAATGAGTGTATTTCACGAAGTCACCCATTAATTTTATTCAATCTTTTCTATTCGTAGAACCCTCTCACTCCGTAATGAAAGTTGCGTCTTCATCTACTGTTATGTTGGTGTTTGCATGCACAGCCAGGCAATGGTTTACATGGAACACGTTTCGTGAGTGACCAGTGACCAAGTGTGAGTCAGCTGCACCTGATGTGAAGGACACCAATCGATACCCGCAGCAAACGTCAGCAGCCATAAAATCGATAAAACGTACGCTGTGACATCTCAGACGCCTGAAAAGAAAGGAAATACCAAGACGCCTCACAATGTTTGCAAATGAAGTTGTAGTATACGGTGTCTGTCAGTTTGATTGATTCATATGTAAGTTTTGGTGATGTACAACCTTGCTTACTGGGCTTTGGCTCATGAGCTTTGTTTCTGTTTTCTATCTACAGAAATTGTCGTGAACACCTGCCTTCGGAGAATCACTGTCCCCTGGTGCTTCCGTAGCGTGCATATTACAAAGTGTCGAACAGTTGTGAACCCCCAGTCCATTGCGTAAGAGCAGCGAAGGCTAGAATCGAACTGCCGAGTCCACGTACACAACAAGAGTTGGCGAAAGTTACCACAAAATAATCGTCTCACTAATGTTCGCTGAAGCTCTGCTACCAGAAATGGAAATGTCCATATGTATACACACTTCATGTATATAAATTGTGGCAGTGTAGTCGGACGGTGAGCAGTACCATTTCAAATTGCATCGGACAAGTTTTCCCCTGCTGCGTACAACTATTGTGCTTCATTCAGACTGCAAATACTTCCAGCCGAAAAAAATTCAGGACGTCTCCCAGGAAGTTTGAACATCAGTCTCATAGCAACTGTAGATAAGAGGAGTGTAGAACCCTCCAAACGTCCCTAGTATGGTCTGGGGGAAGAATACACCCGTTAGTTCAACCGATCAAAGTGCGTCCAGATCTGCTGCTAAGTGAGCTTAACCGGGGAAATCACATTCCCTTCTTTTTAGTGGGAGAGGTGTCATCAGAATGGAAGGACCTAGCTGACTGTCCACAGATTGCCCGCTTAAGGCAAACGGTTAAACGCTGACTCCGACTGAATAATAACGGGAGCACGAATAAGCACATTCGTACTTGATGGCCAAGATTACCCTTGTAATCCAACGGTCACGATGGCCAATAGGTCTAACATTTCCGTCCGAAGCCTTCATTTTTACCGGGATGTCTCAGAGATGGTCGTTATTTCCAGAAGTTGGCGGTACATCCACGAAAAAAGGGCCATGTAGTACCCGGGAAAATACTTATACCGCACTCCTACGAAACTTATGCATATGCCACACCAGGACGACAATGGTCGCAGTGGTATGGCGTCTCCTACGAGCAGAACATTCTACGCAAGTATAACGGTCAAGGACAAATAATCTGTTAGCTTCAGCCTTCCGAGGCGGCTCATCCTACCAAGGGAGTTGGCTGGAAAAAATGCGGACACGATCTTCTTATGGTTCTCGAAAATCTTCATCAGGTTGGTACTCCAGGTACAGGAAACCTCGGGGAAATGAACTTTTTGGACGGAATGGACTGACTTTGAGAATAATGAATAGGGTCCAGTGTACCAGAAATTTCGAGATCTTTGAGAAACTATTTATAACCACGGTGGGTTTGGACGAAGTTTTTGGCTTGATATAAATACCTCCCCACTCATACCGAGTATTTATAGCTCTAAACCTAAATGCAGACGGTTGCCTTACTCGGATTTCTATATGGCATCATTTGTGCTTTCTCGTGTCGCATACTCTCTTGAGTCATAAAACGTGCTGCCCTCTCCAAGAGCTGTATTTTGTGTTTTGGCCATACAGTGACGGGAATGAGATAAACTACTTGGTTCTTCTTATGAAGCAGTTCATGCGGAGCACAAGTTACCTTATTTTCAAGTCCACAATGGGTGCACCCTTGGGAGATTACCCGCTTGTAATTAATTGAGCGGTGGTGTCTTCGTGTTAGCTGGTTATAGCATGCCCGCAATCGGATGGTGCCCAAAGTAGCACTTGTAACGAATGAGAATGGTCAAAACGAAAAAAGAGCTTGTCAAGTTGGTGCACTTACTACCCATGACCAAAAACCACTGCTTTCCGTTATGAATCGATGTTGATGAAAGTCAGCGAGGGAACAAGTGACGGCACGGCAAAGTGAATTGGAAGAGGCTACAGCCAAATCGAATGCTGTGGAATCTTCGCGTCTTTCTGACTTCGACCGAGGGGTTCTCCCTGAACGTGATTGGAGACCATAAGGCTCATGGTACGTCACAGGCCACAACGTAAAGTACGCCAATATGCCGGGATGTTTAGCAAAATTTGACTGTGTTAGGTAGGATTTGCAAAAGATGCTGGATTTAGTTCTGCAATGGCGTGTTGTGTCGATATGACGCCCATATATTTCTATTTCAATGATGTGGTAGTGTCTCCAAGTAAATTATGCTTTTTCCCGAATTTTTCCCTCCCTGCTAGTCCTTACTAGATCGTACGTTATTCACCGTAGTAGGAAAATTGAGCGCCGATGTAAAGCTGCCAGTGGTGATCTCGCCCCTACTAAAATATAATGGGGCGAGATGGCCGAAGTGGTTAGAGCGCGGATTACTAACCTGAAGGTCCGCGGTTCGAATCCGACCTCCGCCACTCGACTTCCCCTGTCTAGGCTTGGGCAACCTGGCAGTATCCCAGCCCTCGTGCTTCCTTCGGGTGGCATGGCAGCTAGGCACCGGAAGGGTGCTACAGCTGAACGCTTTATCTTTTTTTTAAAAAAAATATAACACTGGCTTAACAGAGCGGACAAACCAAGAAATACGCTACAAACTAAGACACTACTGTTAATTACAGAAACAGCGAGCAAAAGCAAAAGCACTGATAGTGAGGAAATCCAGATGACGGTTGTTTTGAAACCCGAAGGCCATATTCAACGCCCATCACGTAGTATCGATAGGGTCAACGCAGTGTTCAGTATTTCAGAATTCCTCAGCGCGTTTACTCGTCCCATAATGACTATCAGCTAGCGATCCATTGTCAAAAACGGTTCGTGTCAGTGCCTACTCAATCAAAAACCCTTCAGACCACCCACTGTCCAATTAAGAGCTAGGTCTCTACAGATTTGCCGTCCATCTTACCGCGCACCCTTATGACCTGAGCACTATTGACTGCTCTATTCGGCCAGTAACCGGTATTTTAATCGCTGGATTTGTGTTGGCTCGACGACTAGATCGAATTCTGGGTATTCAGCCTCCTTCGATGTTCCGAAATCATCCACAATCCAAAGGCCTTCGAGAGATCTTCGGTTGGTTCAATAATGTATGCTGAGCGATCCGCATCACCTAGGTGTGATTGTGTGGGCAGTCTCAAATAAACAAATTATTGAAACTTCCTTGAACATGGCACCATCACAGCAGACGATGGATCCAGTTAGTCCATTAATTTAAAAGACGTAAATCGAACACTTCCAAACAGACGTCTGCATAAACTCAACTGGTGTACACCGGCACTGGCTAGCTGGCCGACTGCAGTGGAGCTTAGGTATCTATCTAGCTTGAGCAACCGTACGAGGACAGAGAACAGAAAAATAATTACTGGTATCCGCAAGTATACAGCCTACCATCAGTTTCGATTCCTTAATATCGCATTGTTGTTCTCTCCTTCCAAGATAACATCCAAAATGAAACATTTGAATTCATAACCTTCCAGTAAGTTTAGTGGTAAAAAAGAGATAGCCATACTAAAGTAGTTCGTAGGAAAACCCATGTTACGAATCTGATACCAAGTTTTACATTTGAGTTCCCCGAAATAAGTGAGTGCGGAATGAGTGAACCTTGTAACATTTCAGGCTGGATCACACAAAAAACAATGGCAATGAACGGCACATAGTAGTTCGGGTTACTACAGAAGCCACAAAGTTAACTTATGTATTTTTGTTTTCGTTTCCAAATTGATCTATCAGGTGGTGGCGATGAGGTTATGTCGAGAAAACATGTCACATAAACTGTTGGAAAGACCCCAGTGAACGCTCAGCAACCCCGGAGTCATTATCGGAGGTTACGGATGGGGTTTCCAGATCAGTGTCTAGTACGGATATTGCATTTTAATACTGAGATGACTAGTTTTAAAAAGCATAGCGGACGTCGCGACGCTCTCAGATCAAGTCACTGGTTGTTTGGACCCCATCAGTGCGTTATACATGCAACGAAATGGACCAAAGACTGGGTAATTAACACCAGTAAATCAACATCAGAAGCGCGTTCGCAGGCAAGGAACGAAAAGCCATGGGATAGTGCCAGCTGTATGAGGGAACCTCCTTGAAAGTATTTCCCTAGTTCAATACGCACAAACCCAGCCACGTATTGAAAACGCAATCATTACCTCCTTAACGTTATTCCTGAGGTTATCTTAGTACTAACTGTGTGAAGCATTTGAAGCCACAACTAACAGGTGGTCTAAACCAGCTGGCAACCTTGTGAAGTGTGCTTTCATACTTGATAACAAGCGCGTCACCGCCTATTGTACTAAACACACAAGCACGAATTGTAAGTGGATAGAAGAAAACGGAAAGTACACCGAACTAGAAGTGGTCGTCTTCTTCAGATTAATTTTCATAGCGCAAAACAAGAAAGGTTATGTCGCAAAATAGGAATTTACAGTTGGGCTGGGAAACAGAAAAGGTTTATTAGCCCGATGGAACTGCAGCATACTGAAATCGATCCTTCGAACAGACGTAGTCCGCAATGTCAAGGGCGAGGACACAACTTTCTCGAACCAAAGGTTCCTCATCATGTAAATATTCTTGGAGAACACAACGAGCAGCCAATGCAAAAGGCTCGTGCATGTTAGGGTGATTGTCATCGGTAGAATCCACATTAATATGTCCCAAGACAGCACCTAGAGCTTCGGCAGCCTCGTGACGGACCATGGGATGTTCGCTGGTCAGTTGTAAGCTCTCGGCTAAATCTGGGACCGTGACCGGCATGCACAACTGGCCCAAAACGAATGCAACCTCATGACGCAGGAGCGCGCTTCCAGGGGCATGCAATCCTTCAGCCAACATGGTAGCCAAAGCATCTGCCGAACATAGTCGATCGGAAGGTTCGAACTTGGCCTCAAGAATACAGTCACGCAAACTGAATAAAGCTTGATAACGCGTGAATAACGATTTGCCCGGATCCATCATAATATCACGTAAAACAGTAGCATCCTCACGAAAATCTGGATCGATTGACGGAGCCGGGTCGACTGTGTCTGGAAATACCTCCTTGGCAATCTGCCGTTTGGGTGGACAGCCAGATCGTTGTCGCAACCAGTTCAGGCGACCGAGACCAAGTTGACACGTTTCCGCTAGCTATAGATGGAGACAAGAGATACATTCAGTGTTCCTAAAAATCCGAGTGAATAACCCTGTGTAGTGGCCTCGTAATTACAACCCTATTTGGAAGGATACTTGGGAGGTTATTGAAAAAGTCAAGGCCAAACAATAGCCTCGCGTGATTCGCCACGTGTATAAAACAAGTACTGATGATCGTTTAGCTGTGGCACGCTTTCGGTGCATAGGTACTGTGCAACCCGAAAAAAAAACACAAGGCGAAATGCTACCAGGCTTCCCAACCCTGGACAAAACCAATCGAAAGGCAAAGGCGAGGTACGAACAAGGGATCTTCTGGTCAACAGTTCTGAGTCTTAACTACTGAGCTACTTTGAGCTCATCTGCAAGGCGAGCACACGTAACGGCAGTACAAGGCTTAATCATTGAGTTCAAGATAGCCGGGTAGGTGTGGTGCAAACTTTCTGAACGGAAGGCCCACAATTTGAACTCAACCTCAGCATTTTGACCGCCTCTATCTGAGCCAAAGAAACCCGACAGTATCTCGGCCCTCGTGCGTCTTTCGAGCGGTATACCAGCGAGGCACCAGTAGTCTTGAACAGGTTGAGCAGAGTGCAAACAGATCTACCAAAGCTCTCTTATTATAAGGGCATGGAAGTAAGAAGGTCCTGTAAACAAACACGAGCAAAAGGGATAAAAACACCAGGAAATAGGACTAAAAGTCATGAGTTGAGCTCTTGGATGCACACACATTCGTTTGGCTGCCTTAAAAGCGGCAACATAGCTCGGTAGCTCGGAGTGGCGGGTTGCATGGACCTTCTGTATGTCGGACAATGGCGTCTGCTTCAACAATAACAATACGTAATAAAGGGGTGCATGGATGAACAGTCAATATCGTCGGATTGACAATACTAAGTTAGCCAAAAGGTACGAACCAAAATACTCTAATTCTGGAAGGAATTTGGTAAATTTTTAGGTTGATTAGTGGTGGGAAAACAGTAATAATTGCAGTTCTATAACTGAAGGCTTCGGCCACCATAGTTGACCGCACGAGCAAAATAGTCACAACCACTCCTTATCAACCCAAACAGGAATTTCGTAGTTGGTTGGGTAGCAAGGTATATGAGATGAAAGTTGAAGAAAGCGGGTAATCAGTATGGGGTACGGCACTTTTGAGTCACCTTTTCTCTTAGAAAACAACTGAGGCATGTCTTAAAGGCACGCTGAAAATGCTGGGGAAAAGCCTATTTAATAGTTTCGACGTTATTTACACCCGGAAACATTATGGGAAATGCCTGAGGTATTACATGAAGTTCAGTACGTGATTTCCGAAACGATTCGATCTGCTTTTGAATGCTGGTCCAAAAATGATTTTCGCCTTCGGAATATTCCTTCTTTTAATACGTTAACAACGCACGCACTACTATAATTGATTAAAAAGTCGTTTTCTCACTAGGTTTTTAACCGTCTTAAGAGAACATGCATTAACTATCCGCATAAACTAATCTTCAATAAACAAAAGAAATGAATCAGATATCTTAGGATGAATTAACAAAAAAAGGTGCGCTTCTAAAACTTCCACTCGTGAAAAAGCCTGAATTGAAAGTAGTCCTCTATGACAGAAACCATATTGGGCTCAGCCAATGCAAATTGATATCCTTTCATTTGATTCCGTTCCGTTTATTCCCTTGCAGCTGATAACAGAAAAAGAGACTTGTTGAAAAGAATTTTCTCGAAGCATTCACCCTTAAATTGAGAACGAAGTGCTACCTTCCAGAACTGAATGAAATAACCTAGTCCTGTTTTTTTACCCTGTGAGAGGTAAAGCGCATTCCTGGAGTGAAGCGAAGATTTGACATAACTTCTTTGACACAGAAAAGTTCTTTCGGAAACTGACGTCATTCATAATCACCGTCTAGTACGGTTATTAATCAAGCCCAGGCGAATACGAACAACCTTGTAGGTACGAAAGAATACTCAGCGAAATACACTCAAACAAATTTGTTTGCAAATGAGTGTGTTTCGCTAACGTCATGCAATTTGATTTCAAGTAGAACACAAGGCTGACGGAAACTCTGGGACTGCGCCTACCTGATGAGCCTCAAGAAGGGCGAAGCCGGTCGTGGGCTGTCGAAGAATTTTCAGGAATCTGCTTTATGAGTAAAGCATCACGAATATTGACCTGTTTCTGTACATCACATGGAAATCTGGATACGAAGCACTTGCCATCTTACGTCTACTGATAAGCGTTTAACTGACCGGCTTTCCAACAGGGCTTTGAGGCTGGCTTCAGGCCACCCCAACGCGGCCTCATAATCCATCGTTATCATATCGGAATACTGAGAACAATAATGAAGCCCTTTCTTACTGTCAGTGCACTAGTCAGAACACATGGTACAAGGTTTGGGTATTGAAAAACAGTAGGATGTGACATCATCACACACCGCGAATCGAACACAGAACAATAAGTCCTGAACGTTTCTAGCATACAAAAACCTACAAAACTGTAAAGTGAATAAACAAATAATGTCTCGTGCTTATGTAGTGAAGAGGTCGCTCGGGTCTGAAAATCCCAACCAGACGGCTCTTAAGCAGGACTGAAGCGTTGCGTATTGCTGGGATTTGTCATGGATGGAAGACCTCGCACGACTGAGTTTCCTGGCTTGTGATCATAGCCTTACCATGAACATTCGGTGAAAGTTCAAACGATATATTTCTAGAGAATCAAGGGGTGGTTGGATAAACAACCTGACTGAACAATAAATGAATTGAGAATCAATCTGGCCAGTAGACCGATTCCTCTATCCCGGTTGGAAAGGCTAGGTGTTTCCCCGTCACTTATGGGTGAGGATGGAACCCTACAAGCATCGATATCACTATGACATCAAGCGCAGTGTTTTTGACGGCGTGTTTTGAGACCGTACACATTCTAGTGCACAGAACCAGCCAGTGTACCATACATTTGCACACCTAACATAATCTGCACTAAAATTTTGTGATGCGATAACCGCGCAACTCAACGCAGGAACGGCGAGAAAGCCTTAATGATTAAAAGCCCGTTTTAGGGCTGAAGGGTGGTTGCACTGTGCTGTTAGCAGATGAACATGGCATTTCCGTTTGTGTTATGAAGATAGGTGTTAAAGTACTTGCAGCCAATCCCCGATCCCGCCAATCCGAGCCAATCATGTGAACATAAACGTTCAGATGGTGCGATAAGATTCCAATAAACTCAAACGGAACCACAGGCAACTAACTGGATAGCAGATATGGCCAGTTGCCGGCTTCACAGCTATTTCGCTGTCATAGTGCATACACAACTCCGTATGTGGGCAAAGTAGTCCACGGGTGTACTTCATATGTGAAGGAATTTTTGGAGTTTTAGCCGAAATTTGCTACAAGGTCTGTGGTCAAAACTGAGGGGTAACCTCTCCAAGATTTCGACGGGAACTTAAAGGGGGTGTGGTACCTTTAGAGAAGGATAATGTATTGTTTTGCCCGTTCATTTAAGGTAAGTGAGCATAGCAGGTCATCCCTTTCCTACGAGCTTCGTCCAAACAATCGTATATTTAGTAAAAATGCTCTTCTCAGCAATAGGCTAGATTTAGCACTGTCATTCGACAGGTGCTAACCGAGCAGCTAAATTACATGGTCACTACAGAAACGAGTATAGAAATCGATATTGTTAGGAGAAAACGCCCCAAAAAGGCAAAAACGTTGTCAGATCTTGAAGAAATATGCCCTTGGGACTCAACGTGCATCCAGTAAGTCTGATGATTCCACAAAACTATTCATATTGAAGTCGTGAAAGCATAGGTTCGTTGATGATTGCCGCTGGCATTTAACACTGAAAACCACAAGAGCCAACATAATCCAGTTCTTCCGACTATAAGGCGGTGATGCATCGGTGCCCTCATCTGGTGACAATAATGCTACTTCACAACCATGAAATGATTATGATGAGTTCTTCCATAGCAGCTGGGGTTGCCAAAGAAATTCCATTCTTACCCCCATAAATCGAAACTTAATAACAAGCGGGGGATACTTTAAGATGATCCTAACAGACATTTTATTTCGCATCATCAGATTGAATCCCACAACTCATCGTTCAGCTGTATCACCCTTTTGGTGCCTAAATGCCATGCCACCAGAAGGAAGTAAAAGGGCTGGGATACTGCCAGGTTGCCCAAGCCTAGACAGGAGAAGTCTCGAGGTAGAGGTCGGGTTCGAACCACAATTTATACCTATGCATAACCATTAGCTTCTCACTTCGCAGCGAAAATACTGGTTGACTTTATAACGGGCGATCGTGATTGTCAACGGATATTGATAGCACTGAAGTCATACTGTTTGAACGACGGTGTGGTGGAACAATCGTTTCTACATGAGTTATATACCAGTGTCATCTTTGCTGTATGATCTTAATTTAGAGCTGTCGATAAGTGCACCGGATTGTACAAAGTAGCCACATGGTGTTCACGACTCCAACTGTTTGAACGACCAGTTTATAAAAGGGCTGGATACTGCCAGGTTGCCCAAGCCTAGACAGGAGAAGTCTCGAGGTAGAGGTCGGGTTCGAACCACAATTTATACCTATGCATAACCATTAGCTTCTCACTTCGCAGCGAAAATACTGGTTGACTTTATAACGGGCGATCGTGATTGTCAACGGATATTGATAGCACTGAAGTCATACTGTTTGAACGACGGTGTGGTGGAACAATCGTTTCTACATGAGTTATATACCAGTGTCATCTTTGCTGTATGATCTTAATTTAGAGCTGTCGATAAGTGCACCGGATTGTACAAAGTAGCCACATGGTGTTCACGACTCCAACTGTTTGAACGACCAGTTTACCCGGATAGTTGATGATACCTAGCCGACACTGTAACGAAATCGGCCGATTTATGGCTCTTTAACTCGTCTTGGACCAAACCCTAAGAGGATACACATTGTTTCGAATTTTCACTCACCCGATAGTGGGACTAGATGTAAGCGCCAAGATTCAACAACGGCATCCACTGTTTGTCTACTATACCTGATGTTCAACAACTTGAGGTAACAAATAGGTAACCAACTACCCATTATTTTCAGTGAAGGATTATGGAAACACGTATTCGGATGAACTGCGTATCATGACCGCCGGATGCTGGATACGCATCTTATTAAAACCCACACAGTCTGTTCTACTGAAGCAACCGCACGGTGGTGAATCAAGAGTAAGACCGGATACCCACTATTTGGGGTCAGCAACTCTAGTCAGCTATATGGATATATTCAAATGTGGTGTCAAATAAGAAGAGGCTATGAACAACTCATGTGTCTTATTGTCTTTTTATTTACTACTAACGTACAGAAGTGGTGATTTTGTAACTGGAGGATAATAACGATGCAAACAGAGCAAAGGCGATGGGCTAGATGCTCGTGAAATAACTTCTACTCGTCAGTTCTTAAACGGCCGTTGCAGTCCGGCATGTATGGGGAATAAGAGTAGAGTGTTGAGAATTACACAAACGCTAAATTGAACTGCCCGCAAGTCACAGCCTTTGCCACTAGCATACCAGAGGGCGCTAAGTACAACCAAGTAGTAAATCTCAGGAAACTGGTCAGGTTAATCAGGTACGGCGAGCCCAAAAATGTTTCCGTCCTGGGAGTATTGCTTACTGAAGGCTTCCGCATAAAACCTTAGCGGACAAGCACTAAAGAAAAAAAAAGCTCATTTTTTGAGGTTTCAGTGTTGGAGCGCCTGAAACGAAGGATACTCCCAACCACCAAGATTTACACCTAGATAATCGAGAGCTAACACGAGCCAACTTGAGAAGCAAAAGGAAGCGGTCCATACATGGTCAGTGGTGAATTCAACGCCCGGAAAATCACCCGTCGTAAGCAGTATTCTTACACTAACTTACGGACCACTGTTTTACCACCCTAAGCTCCAAAGTACGTTCGCGAATGCTTGAAACTGTCGGAATTACGACATCTCAAGTCAATCTAAGCTATGGGAGATGGGGCGAGATGGCTCAAGTGGTTAGAGCACGAATTTACTGACCGGAAGTTCCGTGGTTCGAACCCGACCCCTGCCTCTCGACTTCCCCTGCCTAGGCTTGGGCGACCTGGTAGTACCCCAGCCTTCGTACTTCCTTAAGGTAGCATGGCAGCTAGGCACCGGAAGGGTGTTAACAGCTGAACATGGGAGATGGGTCCCATACGAAAACGATAGAGTTACATCAGCTGAAAAAGTCCGATGTAGATGAAGTGTCTAGTGAACAACCGACATCGTAGTGAGCGCGTGACGGCGTAAACCGGTTCCGTTGAGCACGCCCCTAGCTGTTTTACTTAACCAACCGATTGCCGCAACAAAGTGTAGATTGCTCTAAGTTACTCATAGTATACTACGCTTCTGATTTGCTGTCTACCTTGTTGGAAATTATTGGCATATTCCACAGGTCACCTAACATTACGATAGTAACAACGGCAGGCGAAAAACTGCACACAAGCCCAAAAACATTGTTGGTTCTAAATTTTCCACATGCATTTTGCCGAGTATGTACTAACAAGCTCAGAGGACTCGTTCAGACACCGTACAGTGAAGACCTCATCAGTGGATTGTTGAAGTGCTCATAATGAGGTGCTATCGAGTTCGTCTTTCTCAATATTTTTACGACGTAAATTTATAGCTCGGCTTCTCCATTATCCTCTATGTTACACGAGAGGGATTATAAAAAGGGTGGATCCCAACGTCAAGACACGACCTGTAAGGAGTATAAACATGGAAAATAGGACACGGTTGCGAACCTCACTGCTAATATGTGCTTGTTAATTATCAGATTCCCGTCACTGTTTGAACAAAAGACCGAAAACCCAAATCAGGGAGCTATAGGGGCGAACCACACTAGGATCCTACGGGTTGGGCGTTGGTACCTGCGCGAAACACAGCATGACCAATGTACATCCATAAATCAGTAAAATATTCTGTGGAAAACTGTAACTTCCCCATCTTATAAACTTATTTGGATTTCGGGAATTGGATTGAACCAGACGCTGCGTCCATGTCGCGAAAAGAAACAAAAGTTTCGACAGTATCATCCTGCTTGGGGATTATAGTCACCCTCGGTTGAAAATACAGAAGACTCTTCAGAACAGAAAATGAACTTACTTCGACTACATCAGACGCAGCGAACTTTGACAGGACTTGTTCAACTGAATCGAGATCGACACCAGGCAACTCACAGAGGGCAGCTAAAGCTTCAGCAGCTTCGTGTCGCACAACGGAAGGATGTCGCGAATCATGAACAGCTTGAATAAGATACGGAACCGCTTCCGGATTCCTGCGCTGTCCAAGACAGTATGCGGCCTCATGTTGAAGCAAAGCGTTAGCCGCTGGAGATGGCTCAACTGTCTCACATAGGAACTTGGCTATCAGGTCCACCGCCAACAATTCGTTAGCATGTCTCAATCCCCACAGGGCTCGAGCTCGGTCAACTAATTTGGCACAGGGATCAAGCAAACAATCACCCCAAGTTCGGAGTTCACTTTCTGGAACTGGTCGCTTCGCAACATCGCTGACTGGAGCCATTTAGCTGCAACGAAACATACAGTAAAAGTTAGTTTAATAGGCTGCACGCAACGAAGGCACACGCAATAACGTCAGTAATTGAGGCGCATGGCAATGAGATCGTCGGACGTTTCGTATTGAACTAATAACTCTCATTCTGGAGAGCACCGAGGTATGAGGTCAACGCATATTGTTTTCCTGTGAAGGCCCGAGGAGAATAATAGCAATGTGGAGAAGCGTAATTCGGCCTTGTTTACGTCAGAATAATTCTGAGGTACCTACATGTTCATCAGGGTGATGTTTTTCAAAATGACATGACAAATGCAGTGGTATGCAGAATTTGGAAGATTCGAATCATAAGGCATTGTACCCTTCCTAACATACTGTCCATTGATACGAGTTTTCTTTCCCAAGCAACTCATCAGTTTGTTTTGAACATTAAATCCTTAAATCGACGGTATAGTCGCGTGATTTCCTCATTTTCGTTAGTTGGTTCGACAAGCTGGGATGTTAGTTGCATTCTTGGATATTTTCATCGCACTATTGCCTGAACGTAAACAACGTGAATTTCTTAGATGTTCATCAATTATGGAGTAGCTATTGACCGACACAAGGGCGAAAACAATTCACAAGGATTGTCAAATGGCAACTATGTAAGTGGGTGACAAGGCCTGTCATCAAACGCAGTCGACTTTGATGCATTATTATTATTATTATTGCCAGCATCTTAGGCAGCAATACCACATGTTGTATGGATATGTCACTGTTCCAAATCATGGATATTTCATTTTGAAAGTCTTACGGAAGAAAGTATTGTAACTGAGTGCAAACCTAGACACCAGAATTTTGGTGACCGAAGACATCCAACAAAAACACAACAATTACATAGAACATGCAGATATAAAAGTAGAGAGCACCATGGCATTTAAAGCGAATCTGTAACTTTGAATAAAGACTGTGCAGTCAGCTTTGAGTCAGCCAGTCACTCTAGTACCAAGGGTACGTTGGTCCCAGATGCTACAGTGTCGATCACCGAGAAATGGGAAAGAAAGAGAGATACAGCCAAACGCTGGAAGTCATGGCATGCTCAGTTAGTTCAGAGACTGATAGCTACGCCTTGAAGGCAGTAGTTTTGATGGATGAGCGCCACAGACAGCGCAGTTGGGCCATATCTGCCAGTGCCATTAACCACTAGTGGGTTCAGTCTCAGAATCCCCGTCCAAGAAGACAGCAGTTGTTGACCCTACTAGGTTGACTGGTCAGTGCTTTCATACTTTGTTGCCACGTCATATACTGCCCGTTTCTCTGTCGCTTCCAATCAGCACAGTGCTGGGTGAAGAAAGCTCTGCCGGGCAGATGATCCTCTGGAATACGAAGTACTTGTGCCAACCAGCGTAGCTTATGAAGCGTGAGTAATTCCGCTTCTGTGGAAGAGTTCCCTTTTCCTAAAACAATCTGGCGTACCTCAGCACTGCTAATCCCCTGTTCCCACTAGACACAACCAATGCTCTGGAAACACCGATGTTCAAACACTGGGGTAATTTTCAGGAAGCTGAGCTTCTTGACAGAAAAATGGGGAAGAGGGTTAATGCTAGGCTATCGCACAGATGTTCATGTGCATACAACTCTTAAATGATGCCGTCAGACAACCTAGCAGATAATTAACAATACGAACGCCATTAAAATCGTGTGGAACTATACGTTGAAACGTTACCGTCACGAAGAGACTGGACCTTACCGTGGTGTGACGGTTTGCGCACCTCAGCGATCCATTGAGCTATACTGGAGAGTGTCCCGCGACACTCACTCACACTCTCATACCAGGTTGGTCAATGGTTAGAGGTCTGACGAACACAGTCTCCTGGCCCTCCAAGTTGGGGGTTGGAACATGTGGCGACTTGTTCCGTAGAAATGGTAATGCATTTGCATTTCCCGCCAAACACCGCTGCCTTGCGGTTAGGCTTTTGAGCCAAAGGCTTTGGTTGAGGACCCTAATCGTCCTCCTGTCTAGGTGTGGGCGCCCTGGCAGTATCCCAGCCCTCGTACAACCATGACCTACACAACTAACAATATTCTCATGCCACATCGGCCGTCGCGTGGTGCCATCAGCCGGGTCGCCT